GACAGTACATGTTTATGTACATATGTAAGTATATTCTATAGACATGTGTATATATTTTGACAAAGACAGTACATGTTTATGTACATATGTAAGTATATTCTATAGACATGTGTATATATTTTGACAAAGACAGTACATGTTTATGTACATATGTAAGTATATTCTATAGACATGTGTATATATTTTGACAAAGACAGTACATGTTTATGTACATATGTAAGTATATTCTATAGACATGTGTATATATTTTGACAAAGACAGTACATGTTTATGTACATATGTAAGTTTATTCTATAGACATGTGTATATATTTTGACAATGACAGTACATGTTTATGTACATATGTAAGTATAGTCTATAGACATGTGTATATGTTTTGTCAAGGAGAGTACATGTTTATGTACATATGTAAGTATAGTCTATAGACATGTGTATATATGTACATATGTAAGTATATTCTATAGACATGTGTATATATTTTGTCAAGGAGAGTACGTGTTTATGTACATATATAAGTATATTCTATTGACATGTGTATATAGTTTGTCAAGGAGAGTACATGTTTATGAACATATATAAGTATATTCTATAGACATGTGTATATAGTTTTGTCAAGGAGAGTACATGTTTATGTACATATATAAGTATATTCTATAGACATGTGTATATATTTTGACAATGACAGTACATGTTTATGTACATATGTAAGTATAGTCTATAGACATGTGTATATATGTACATATGTAAGTATATTCTATAGACATGTGTATATATTTTTTCAAGGAGAGTACGTGTTTATGTACATATATAAGTATATTCTATTGACATGTGTATATAGTTTGTCAAGGAGAGTACATGTTTATGTACCTATGTAAGTATATTCTATAGACATGTGTATATAGTTGTCAAGGAGAGTACATGTTTATGTACATATGTAAGTATAGTCTATAGACATGTGTATATGTTTTGTCAAGGAGAGTACATGTTTATGTACATATGTAAGTATATTCTATAGACATGTGTATATAGTTTGCCAGGGTTTAAGCAATACCAAGTAGTCTTTCCCATTAAATTTCAATGAAAATCAGTCACCTTTACCAGCAGCAATGTATCTCTGAGTATAATATTTGTCCTCGTTAAAAGTGTGATTAACGCTTTGAATTGTTTGATAGCTAAACCGGCCGATTGTACATGTACAGTTGTAAATGGATACGGGGTGTGTGACCATGGTGTCCTCAGACAAATTTAATATACTTGATTTTAAAAAGTAAACAAAACAAACATTTTGGTTGTTAGTTACCAAGATGGCGGTACTATCCGTTCACAAAGCTCCTTAATGAGGAAATCGTGAAATGTTAATACTATGAGTACTCTGAAGAGTTCAGCGACCGCACTTTGACAAGTGGCAATGCTACATGTTCATATACACGCTCTCATTGAAAAGGTCGCGCAATCATTTCATACTTGACTTATCAAGAGCTGTTCTCAACGCTCTTCAGAACGTAAATACCGAGGCATCACCACTTGGCGTATATTTAACACTAGGAACTATGATATTGTATCGGGAAGCTGAAAGTTTAATCGCGCACGCTAAGTGAGGAATCTGCCAAAGCACTGGTGCTATCTAACTAATGTACTCATTGACCCTCAGACCGCCCCTCACTCTGGCAGAGTGCTCCGAGCATTTTACATTGACATAAACTATCTGCCCCTTCCCCCGGGACCCCGCGGGGATCACAGCCGGAACTGGCATCTCGTAGAGTCACATATGTACCGTATCCCCGTCAGAGCAGTAGTACCGGCCAATAAACACTGAGTAACCAGGTATTCTAGTAAACACATTAGCCTTGTACAAACACATGTTCAATATTATTGTAATTGTGAGCGGGATGCATATCCTACTTGCCGTTTTTATAGCGGTTTGTCTGCACGTCCTCAGGACAAACTCGTTCTGTGACGTTGTTAGGTACAGATAGTAAAGGTACGGGCGGTACTATCGACCGACAAGGAACCCTTAGCTCAAACGTATTCTTTTCAAACAATTTCCCATTTAATGTTCATCGGATGCTAAGGAATGTCGATTGGAGGTGTTTAAAAGCTGTATGACAAACAAAAACACCTGCTAATTGATAGTTTTAATCCTATTGGTGTATTGGCGGCGATGTAGTAGTACTTTTAAATGTGTTATAGTAACGTATTGTTGAAGGACACATATTTCTGCTAAAATCGATCGGACGCATACACGTGCTTCACAGTAGTGGAGTGGACACATTGTTAGCCAATCTGAAATCCCGACCACCTTATCTACCTTATACACCTGTCGATTGCCAACATTAATATAAGGAAACGGTTGTTTGTGGAAAAGTCCTACATGTGGATTACGTTTAATCATGGAGATAGTCAGAAGAGCTTCCTTAATATGTCGATTGTCTAACGGAAACCAAACATTGCGGTGGTTGGACGGTATTTCTGTATCCTTTTTGACACCGTTTTATTGAAGTGTTTGATACTGAGTTAACGGCTTATTTGAGTCAATGTCCTCTGTTTAATAATCTGTTGTGTTTGTTTAAGGCTGTCATTTAGTGATGCTTTGAAGTTATGTTTTGAATCTAATGATTAAATCCGATTTTAAGTGATGTCCGATAAAGATTGGGCAACCGATACAGCAGATTTTGATTGATTGATTGATTGATAGGTTTTACGTCCGCTTCACTACCGCGTATTTCGGTTATCCAGCAGACGTTATACAGCAGATAGTAAAAGTGACCTTTTTATAGTCAAGTGAAGCCATTGTATAGAAAGTGATGTGTTTACTCGGAAGACTGTATCATAGCAGCGAAGAATGAGTTTTAGATATTTACTATAGTATCCGTGGTAACACGGACGCTCTTGTTGCACGGTAGATACATGGGCTGCTGTGTCGATCTACTCAATCGCTCCTTCTCAGATTGTTTTATTAATATTTAATGGTGATACATATTCATCACGGCTCAGTGTGACATATCTACATGAGACAATCATCCATTCCTACCCATGTCGCCACATAGAAATGTGACAAACAGAAACATGTGCAAAAACATAACGGAAAACGGAATTAAAAATCAGCTACATAACACGGAACGAAAACTGTTCGAAATCGGAATGAAACTCAGCTAAAACGCAGAACTTGGTACCGGATTACGTTCATACGAATTCATTCATATTTACGATGACTTTTTTCTCACCAAACTCTGACGTTTACAGTTTAACTTTGATACTCATAGATCGTTCTTGTCTATATGCAGGAAGTTTACCGACGACGTTTTGACAAATCCGATATTAGAGACGGTGTCCTGATTCTGGTCGGTTGATGGGGCAGCAGGGACGAATTTGACGTATAGTAGCTCTTTTTATAAAATGACTTATTTTCATCCATTATCTGAATTTATATTGAGTTAGCCTATAGACTACGAAAGGCATGGTTACAGCATATTATTATGAACAACTTATCAAAAAGATCAAGTTAATTGATCCCTAACTGCCTGACCCAGTGATGTATGGTCGGATACAGCGTTTAAATCTTGGTTTCGGGTGACCGATATCTGGTGTACATTGTGTAGGCGACACGGCCGATAACGTAAACCCGTACAGTATCAATTGTGTTTGGCGAGTTTATAATGACCCGGTGTTACATGTAGTGATGATAAATGATAGACTCCTGGTGTTCAGGAGCTGTGTGACATCGTATAGGGGTACCCCAGTTAATCCACATAACCACATGCAGATTGACGTTTTCTTATCCCGCGAGATTTCCCGCGAGATTCCCATTATGTTTACAAGAAAGGCAAACATTGTTTGTCTTCCTTAATTTCCTTAATTAATATACAGATCGTATATGACGTTCGGACAAGGATCTACGGAAGCAGGATCCCAGAGTGGCCAGCAAATGCCGTATCCATGGATAAAAACGAGAGCACTTGATCCCATAGCACGTGCCCAACTGGTTGGACAGGAGTTCCTCGAGTGCTGAATTTGTCCAAGATTTTCTGAACCATTTAATCAATAGAGTGGTATAGGCGGAACTATTTCAACTCTCAAATCGGCTCACACAGTCAGTTTTAATATATGCGCTGCGACAATGCACTAACGAACATGGACGTCCGTTTTTCACTAATTTTTATTTATTGTCTTACAACTTTTCAGGTGGAATATTTATTTTAAAATACCAGAGAAATAAGCGTTTTGCTTCCGTTATGGAGGACAGGGAGAATGCTATTTTGTCTGTCGACACGTGTGTGGATTGTTTTGAGGTCCTAGGAACTCCGATGGACACGACCATCTATCCGGTGTATTTCAGAAACGTGTCAGTCTGGCAAAACAACACGACACCTCCTTTTAAACCGGGAGAGGGTTCCAGTTCACCGGCAACTCTGGTTCTTCTCTCGTTTCTGTTTTTTGTAATAGGAGTTACCGGAATCTGTGGCAACTCTCTAGTGGTGTGTGCTGTGGTTCTTAACAGAAAGATGCGGACATCAATGACAAACTTATTGATAACTAATTTGGCGTTTGCTGACCTTGTTATAATGATTCTAGGCATTCCAGAGACTGTCCAGTTCATGATGGACCGAGGCTGGACGCTACCGACGGTGTGCTGTAAGATAAACCGTTATGTGATGGTGGCAGCGCTATATGGGTCCGTCCTCACCTTAATGGCCCTGTGTGTGGAAAGGTGAGTAACACCCTTTATCTCTACAATTCATTTAAAGTACCGACAATACATGTATATATACACCTTAGTTTGCATGTACAAATGCATGGAAAATAAAATGAATCGCGAACATGTTTACATAATGAACAGTTGTTATTTATTCTTTGTGGAATCAAAATCTGTCTTCGCGAAAATTAAGTAAGTTACTGATTAACTATATGTTAATGTAAAATTAGAGTAAAAAAAAAAATCCAATGTGAAAAATGCTTTTTTCATTAGATAGGTCGAGAACCTGTTTCTGAAAGTAAGGTGTACTGTTCAAACATGGAAACGTTATTTACAGCACAAACATGTAAAGACAAACAAATGTCTTGTTTCTGCGCGAGCGATACAAATAAGTCAGCAAAGTTATGTTCGCGGAAAGAAAATGCGATTTTTACTTTTACCTAAATATTTGTTTTGTTCAACTAAGAAAAAAAACTCGGGATCATTGTTTATTATAGGGATTACTGTTCATTAAAGAGATTACTGTTTGTTATAGAGATTACTGTTTATTATAGAGATTACTGTTTATTATATAGATTAGTGTTTATTATGGAGATTACTGTTTGTTATAGAGAAAGCGGTTTATTATAGAGATTTTATTTTTTTATAAAGATAACGGTTTATTCTAAAGGTTACTGTTTATTATAGAGATAATGGTTATTTATAGAGATTACTGTTAATTATAAAAATAACAGTTTATTATAGAGATAACAGTTTATTATAGAGATAACTGTTTATTATAGAGATATCGGTTTATTATGGACATTACTGTTTATTATGGAGTTTACTGTTTATTATAGAGATAACGGTTTATTCTAGAGATTATTGTTCATTAAAGAGATAACGGTTTATTATAGAAATATCGGTTTAATATAGAGATTACGGTTTATTATGGAGATTACCGTTTATTATAGAGATAACGGTTTATTATAGAAATGTTGGTTTATTATAGAGATTACGATTTATAATAGAGATAACGGTTTATTATAGAGATAACTGTTTATAATAGAGATAACGGTTTATTATAGAGATAACTGTTTATTACGGAGATTACTGTTCATTATAGAGATAACGGTTTATTATAGAAATATCGGTTTATTATAGAGATTACGGCTAATTATGGAGATTACCGTTTATTATAGAGATAACGGTTTATTATAGAAATGTCGGTTTATTATAGAGATTACGATTTATTATAGAGATAACGGTTTATTATAGAGATTACTGTTTATTATAGAGATAACGGTTTATTATAGAGATTACTGTTTAGTACAGAGATAACGTTTTATTATGGAGGTTACTGTTTATTATAGAGATTACTGTTTATTATAGAGATATCGGTTTATTATAGAGATATCGGTTTATTATAGAGATAACGGTTTAATATAGAGATAACTGTTTATTATGGAGATTACTGTTTATTATAGAGATTACTGTTTATTATAGAGATAACGGTTTATGATAGAGATATCGGTATATTAAAAAGATTACTGTTTATTATAGAGATTACTGTTTATTATAGAGATTACGATTTATTATAGATATTACTGTTATATGTAGAGATTACTATTTATTATAGAGATAACGGTTTATTATAGAGATTACTGTTTATTATAGATATTACTGTTTATTATAGAGATTACTGTTTATTATAGAGATTACTGTTTATTATAAAGATAACGGTTTATTATAGATATTACTGTTTATTATAGAGATAACTATTTATTATTATAGAGATAACGATTTATTATAAAGATTGCTGTTTATTATAGAGATTACTGTTTATTATAGAGATAACAGTTTATTATGGAGATTACTGTTTATTATAGATATTACTGTTTATTATAGAGATTACTGTTTAGTTTAGAGATAACGGTTTATTATGGAGATTACTGTTTATTTTAGAGATAACGGTTTATTATAGAGATTACTGTTTACTATAGATATTACTGGTAATTATGGAGGTTACTGTTTATTATAGAGATTACTATTTATTATAGAGATTACTGTTTATTATAGAGATAGCAGTTTATTATAGAGGTTACTGTTTATTATAGAAATTACTGTTTATTATAGAAATTACTGTTTATTATAGAGATTACTGTTTATTATAGAGATTACGGTTTATTCTAGAGGTTACTGTTTATTATAGATATTACTGTTTATTATAGAGATAACGGTTTATTATAGAAATCACTCTTTATCATTGAGATTACTGTTTATTATAGAATTTACGGTTTATTCTAGAGGTTACTGTTTATTATAGAGATAATGGTTTATTATGGAGATTTCTGTTTATTATAGAGATAAAGGTTTATTATGGAGATTACTGTTTATTATAGAGATAACGATTTATTATAGAGATAACGGTTTATTATAGAGATTACTGTTAATTATAGAGATAACTGTTTATTATAGAGGTTATTGTCGTATTTCGGTATTTCTGCCTATTTTAAGGGTTACTGTTAATCTTCGTACATGTGACCAAAAGCCTCGTCATCTTTTCTGTGTCAATTTCGAAAATAATGGATGTAGCATATTCCATTTCAAGGACATTCTTTATGTCCGTTTCTGTTTTTTTCTGATAAGAGAACTTACTCGGTTCATTACAACATGGCAAATCCCCTGTTTTAAAGCCTGTAAGATTCATTTGTCTTTTCCTGTCTTTAGTCTTTCCCCGACTGTTTACAGGTAATGCCGATTGTTTAGTATGTACTACCTGATTGTTTCGTCAGTCTTCTTATTGTTCATAAATCCTAAAAAAATCATTGACGATATATGCTACCATATTTTGATGTATATCTTGTTTTCAAAAGTGTTCCTAACAACCCGTCCTCTACAATGTAAGTTATGAATGGTATGTTGGTTTTTGCTAATTAATGGAAGACAAGTTGAGAGTGTAACACACCGGTAAACGTCATCAGCGATATTAGAGATGAAACTGAATATAACGTTGAAGAATGTGGGATCAAAGTCAAGTTTTATATATAAACAAACGAAAGAAGAAAACACTCAGATCTCGATATCATTAGAATATGTCGGCCGGCGTATTTGCCAATCATTAATTGTAATATAATGAAGGGAGTAGAAGTAATTGGTGAGCAATTTGTTTGTTGTCATCCTTTAAATTATGAATAATGTTACGCAATACTGTTACTAATTGTGTGAAAATGATTTTTGGTGCAAATACTTTTCAATTATTTGATAATGAGAACAATTAAGTTTACCGGAAACAACATGTCAATTGTTGATGACTTCATTAACATATAAAAACGACATGTTGTAATTCATTGAACGAGTTCCGGCTAACGAATGTCAAGTAGGAATTGAACTTTATGCTGATATGATATTTCCAACCAATGTGAATGACACTGCTTTGCAGGTAAACATGTTTGTTTAATCAATAGAATGACCATCCTCCACAGACTGTCAAAGGCATTAAGCGTCACAAGTATGACGTCAAAGAGTGGGTCATACATTCACACTTAAAAAACATTTACGATGACTTACAAAACTGTTCCGGTGTAACAAATTCCATGATGCTTAGTAGCATAATAATATGTATTGCCAAGTTCCGTAACATCCAGTTTCGTCTCTTGTTTGTGGGTGTGTCTGTGTGTGTAGTAGGGGTGGGGTCTATTTCCACAGATCTGTACATACGTAGTAGGGGTCGGGGTCTATTTCCACAGATCTGTACATGGTGAGTAGGGTTGGGGTCTATTTCCACAGATCTGTACATACGTAGTAGGGGGTGGGGTCTATTTCCACAGGTCTGTACATATGTAGTAGGGTTGCGGTCTATTTCCACAGATCTGTACATACGTAGTAGGGGATTGGGTCTATTTCCACAGATCTGTACATGTGTAGTAGGGTTGGGGTCTAT